TATAAGGATATCTGTTATGAAGAAAGAATTGAATAGGTAACTTATTTAGTAAAAATTTAGATTTAAAAGTTTTGAGTTAATTAAGTTTAAAACTAATATAAAAAGATATAGATTTTTGGTTATAATTAAGATAAAGCAAGAAAAGGTTCAGCTTATAAGATAGTTTAGATGAGTTCATTCACTGTTTCTTTTTTGTAAAGACTACATTGCTAATATATATGCTTTGTATATATTTTTGATAAAATATCTAGTTAGTAGTTCAATAAAGTTTTGTTTCTATTAGAGAATATAATAAGAGTTATAAATATTAATATAATTAAAGATAAGAGATTAAAGAAATATATGCTATTTTGCTAAAGAGTCTGTAAAGTTGTTGAAAGAATTATTAGTATAGGCTTGAACTTTGCAAAAAGTAATTTGAAGATTAAAGGATTTTATAATATTAAGTAAGATATGCTATAATGGCTATGTGCTAAATTTTGAATAACTTGTTAAGGTTTTGTAATTGGTTTGATAGTGTATAAAATTTTGAAATAACAGATTGTGAGTCTGTATAGATGTTAATAGATGAATTGCAGAGTATAGTAGATGTTGCAAATAGAATTGAGACTAATTTAGCTTTATAAGATAATAGTTATAAACAGATTTAGACTAAAAATTTATAGATAATTTGATTTTGTTCATTGATTTGGACCTATTTAATATCTATAAAATATTGTTCTGATCCAATATCAATAACAAAACCATTAGTATAAAAAGTAAAATTATTATTTGTAGAATTAGATAAGTAAATGTCTTAAAGCTCATAAGTGCAACTGTTTGGTTTAAAAATTTCTAAAATGCTAGAGTTGTATATGATAATACATATTAAAAAGTATAGAAGATATATATAAAGGATGTTTAATAGCTATTAAGTATATAAAATTAATGTAATTGGCATTAAGTTTAAGATTGTTAAAGGTTTTTATAGCTAGAAATATTGAAGAAATAATTGCAAATGTATTAATAATACATATTTGGTTAATTTTATTTAAATTAAGATAGCATCCTATATATAGTTTGTATTTGATAAGTGGGAGTAAATAATATTAATTGTAATCTAAATTAATATTAAATTTTTTAGTATATAATCAAAAATGAATTAAAGACAAAGATATATTTGCAAATTTTGCCAATAATAATATTTTTATTATTGGAATGATAAGTAAAAAGCCAAGATTTTTGTTTTTTAGTAATAGGATATATATTGTATACAAAAAGTTTAATATCAGGTAATTGAAAGTGAGATAAGACAGTTTTGTAATATTTATCTAATATAATGTTATTTTCAAGAGAGATAAACTATAAAGTTTGTTTTTCTTTTGTTAGTTGGTATAGTCTTGGTAAAAGATGTTGCTATTTAAGTAAAGTACTATTATCAGCAATACATAATTGCTCTAAATATAGGATATTAAGTTTTTTTTTAATTATTTTTTAAAGATAATATATTTTGAGTGTTGTATAAGTATAGGTTCAATTAGTTGGTATATATTGTGTATAATATTTAATCATAATATATTGTAATAGGCAGAGATTGTAATATTGAGATATTGGAACAACTAAATATTTTTAAAATAAAAAGTAAGTTTGTTATATTTATCAATAATAGGTTAGTTATATTGAAGAATATTAGTAGTAGACCAGAGGTTATTTTGAAGTTGTTGCAATCTAATCATAGTTGTTGTACTAAGAATATTAGGATTATTAATTTATTGTTAAAAATTAGTAATATAATATTGTAGTTAAATGTCTCAAATATTACAGATATTGTATAATATAGATTGAGCATAGAGCTATTAAAAAAGGATCTAAATAAGTTAGATTTATGTTTAGTATAGTAAGGTATTTGGCTAATATGCTGTTGCATATAGTGTGAAAAAATGGTATTATGTAGTCTATATTCAATAGTTGATATAATTACTGTATTAATGATATATTTTATTTGTTTTTTAGTAATTTTTTTAGTATTAGTAATATTGATTAGTTGAGTTGCTTCAGCTTGGATTAGCTGGCCTTGTTTGAATATAGATTTATTAAGTGTAAACTAGCAGCTTAGAAATTTAAATAGTTGGTCAGCTGGAATAGGTTTAATTGATAAATCAAAAAAAAAAAAGTTTAACAGTAAATGATATATTAAAAACCAAGATAGATTTGCTGAATTAATTTGTATATCTGTCATATAATAAAAAAATAACACTATTTTAATAATTGATTCAAGTTCATTTTTGGACTATGCTAACTAGAGAGTATCATTCATATATGCCAATACAGATATAAAGGTTTGTAAGTTTTGTAATTGGAGTAGAGAAAGATTAGTTTTTCATAAGATATATAGAGTGTATTTATGAAAATAGTTGGCAATTTTACTAATAAGAGGGTCATAATAAATTCTTCAGAAGAGTGATATAATTGTCTCTTTTTGGTTAATATTATTTTTAACTGTATAAGAGTTTGTAAGTTTAAGGTTAGTTATAATATGATTATAGTAATTAGTAAGAAGATCAGTTAAAATTTTAATAAGGTGTTAGAGCATTTGTAGTCATAATAAGGATTTTTTAAAAATATTAAGATTGACAGAGTTATAGACTTTACTTATATCTTGTGATAATAGCCAAAGTTGTTTAGAGTTGTAAAAAGCATCTTCTATAGTATTGTTTAAAATATATATTAGAATTGATGTACTATTGCAAGAAAAAGCAATATAGTTGTAAGAAAATAAAATAAAGTATTGAGTAAAGATACTATTAAGTCTATTAGTAAGAAGTTTTGTATAAAGTTTTTTAATATATTCAAGAAGACTAATAGATCTAGTATTAGTAAAATTATTAACAAATATAGATTTTTTGAATATTAAAAATATTCTTTCTTCTTTTTATTGCTTAGATATGTGATTTAGTTTAAGACATTTGTTAAATAATGCAGTTATAGCTATTATAAATATAGGGCCTGCATGTTTTAGCATTTTGTAGCTAATATCTAATAAATTACAAGTTTTGTTGTTAAGAAGTTGGTTTAAAGTTGTAGAAATTTCTTTTTTAGTAAAGTTAGTAAGAGCATGTTAATATTAGTCAGATTCAATATCAGCTTTGAGTTGATATTTATTTGACCAGAAGAAGTTAAAAATTTGAGTTTAAATATGACAAAGAGAAGTCTATTGATCAAAGTAGTCTTGAATATGTTGTTTAATGAATGAAATTTCTGTAATGATATTAGTATCAGTTTTAATATTATCAAATCTAACAGAGTTACAGTATTGATTAAATATACTGTTAATTATTAATGTAGATTTGTGTTGAAGTTTAAAGCATCTTTTTGCTATATTATTATTAATTTGTTCTCTAATGTTTTTAATATTTTTTAAATTGCATATATGATATAATAATTTTTATTCTGTATTAGCTAAAAAGATCCATTCAGATAATGGAGTATAGTTATTTAGTATAGATGGAATATTTAGAAGGTGAGAAAGGTTAAGTTCATAAATTATTTGATTGTATTAAGTAAGTATAATTAATTGTTGCTAAATAGAAACTTTGGTTTATCTAATAATATTTTTAAGTTTTTTAAGATAAAAATGTAAATATAATGCTTTTATGAAGAATATATGTTAAAAGTTGCATATAGTAAATTTTTTATTTGAAATATGTATATGTGTAGCAAAGATGATACTAGTTTAGATTTTGTGCAAGGTTGCCTCAATAGAGACATTGTCTAAGTTAAAAGAGAAGTATGAGTTAATTTTAGATTAGATATGACTTAATTAGTAAAGTTTTGCCAAAGTTCATTATTCATGTTTTTGTATTAGAATATTCTTCTTTTAGTATTAGTAGCAGCTTTCTGTTTGCCTGTAAAGGCATAAGTAAATTCTTATATAGAAATAAAAATATTATAATCATTACAGATGCTAGTATTTAAATCATCAGTACAGTTAATACTGTCTAATTGCATACTATCTGTCAACTGATTTTTTATGCATTTAGACAGTATATGCATTAAAATAGTAATGATAGTTTGTGTAATGTAATGAACAACCAATCAAATTACAAGGCACAATAAGCATTTTTTTAAGTTTTTTTCTATACTAATCTGCAAATTTGATCAGTTATATAACAAGATAACAATTAAGTACTCTATCATTAAATATTAAATGGTTATAAATTGCAACAATTATACATGCAAAATTCAAGTGCATAATCTTATACCATTTTAGACTTTATTAAAGTTACAGTATGTTCATACAACAAAAAGTATTATAATGATAATAAATGATAAATTAAATTTGTGCATATAAAAATAAGTAATTTTCTTATTAATTAAATAAATAAAATATGTACATACTTATCTCATCACCTGTAACCATCATAATTCAAACATTAAAAGTAGATTAGTAAGGTGCGAATAAATAAAATTATATAGATAAGAAGTGAATGACTTACATATATACTAGTGTAAATGTTATAAGAAAGCTTTTTTCTAAAATAACATGCAAAAGTTAAAAAAAAAATAACAAATAATAATAAATAAAAATAAAAAAATAAAAAAAAAAAATAAAAAAAAAGAATAAATAAAAAAAAAAATTAAATAAAAAAAAGAATAAATAAAAGAATTATAACAAATAAATAGTATATTATAAATAAATAAAAAAAGCACAATAGATTAGTTAAAAATTAACCAAACATAATTCATAAATTCAATGATAAGTAATTTATTAAGAAAGAATAAAGAGTTATTGTGAAGAGGTCAATTTTAAACAAAACCTGCTCTATGTTTAATATAAAAATAATATTTTATCATATGCATGCAGTGTTTCATATTTAAAAAAAAAGGTTTGAATGATCAAAATTTTACAACCAGTTTTCTCATTTATGTTATTAAAAAAATTAGCCTTACTAATAACTAGTACAAAAAAATATGTTTATACAACAAGATAATCCAATTTTTATACAAAAACAGCTTGCAAAATGGGTCAAGGAAAATTTTGTCTTAACAATGCACCTAATCAAACAACACTTTCACAGATTCTTGCAAAAAAAGATGAATATCTTAAAATGGATGATGAAAAGGATCTTAAGGTTAAATACTAACATACAGTATTTCAACTACAGTTAGATGAGACATTAGCTAATTGGGTTTTGCAATGCCAGGCAGACAACTTGGTCTTGACTCTTAAAATCATAACATATTTGATTTTTCAATTAGCTGACTTCTTTTGTTTGAGCAACATTATAGTTTTAAAATACACAAAATACATAGTAAAAGTGGGTCAGCTAATATTGATGCTATTGAAAAAAGGTTAATAGAACTTTGTACAACTATCAATAAATATGCTACAAAAGACATTTACAATATAGATGAGACTGGCCTATTTTATAGGATTGCACCAGACAAAACAATAGCCAAAAAGCAAATTGAAGAAAGTAAAAAAGATAAAACTCATCTTACTATTGCTTTTACTTCTAATACAGATAGGTCTCACATGTTAGAATCTTTTTTTATTGGCTATACAAAAAAACTAAGATCGTTTAAAAGCAAAACTGAAAAGCAACATAGATTTTATTACTACAATAACAAGAAGGCCTGGATGACTGTGCTTCTTTTTAGGGAATAGATTGTAAACTTTAATTGCATTATGTAAGAAACAAATTGACATATTCTTTTTCTTATTGATAGTGCAACTTCACATGCAGTTAGTAATGCTAATCTTACTAATATAAAAGTTGTTACTTTATCTTCAAGAACAATATTAAAAATTCAACCAATAGATGCAGGCATTATTGCTGCCTTCAAATATTATTATTATCATTTTCTCTTGCAATATGCTATTAATCGTAATGAGGCTAGAAAATCTGATATATATAAAGTTGACCAACTAAAAGCTATGCAATGGTATGTTTAAGCCTGATATTCAATCCTTGCAAAAATTATTGCAAACTGTTTTTACTATACTGGCTTGTTTGATTATGAAAGTTCTTCTACTATACATGAAGTCCATCCAAATAATAAAGTTTCTTTAGTTGTTGTAGATTTAGAAGAATTACTAAGATTATTATCTTCTCACCATCTCATAAGCCTTGCTTATTTTACAAACCTATCAGAAGAGATGGATATGGTGCATCAGAAGTTCACAGATGCTGACTTGCTAGAATTAGCAGCCTCAGAAAATAAAAATAGTGCTAATGAACTAAATGATCTTGCCACTTCTGTTATCATATTTACAAACTAAGCCAAGCTTATTTCCTCTATATTGTGATCAGTTTTCTTAATACAACTATTACTGATCTCAATACTGCACTCTAAATATTGTGTTCATTTTAGCAAAAGATTCATTTTCAAGCTTTATCTTCAAAAATTCAGATAACACTAGACTCTTTTATGTAAAGAGAATAGCATATCTAAAGATACATAACAAAATTAGTTAGGTTTGGTTTGAGTTTTAAACATTTAGGTTTTAAATGCCTCTTGGCATTATTTCTTAAAAAGGTTTTATAAAAAAAAAATTAGGGTTTCAGATAATAAGTTTTAAACCCAAAATTTAGTTTAGAACCAAAATTTTAAATCTAGTTTTATTATTTTTTTAAACATAAATAAAATATATTAATAAAATTAGTTTGTATGTATATGCTTAGTTTTTAAATTATTTGACTTAAACTTTCACTTTTTTTAAATTATTTGACTCAGACTTTTGCTTTTTTTAAATTTTTATACAGTATTAGATTGCACTTCTATTATTTTACTTAAAATATAACATATTGCTGCACAGAAGTATAATTTCAATTTTTGGTCTAAATTAAGCTTAACCTAAGCTATTATTTTAAATAATGACTAATTTGCAACAATATATTATATAGTATATTATACAATTATCTTTAATTACTTATAAAATTTTTTTATACATTATGCAAATAGAGATTTATGTATTTATAATTAATAACAAAATTAGAAAATAAAAATAATATGAAATTAAGCAGTATATATATTTAGACAGTATGCATTTAGACAGTATTAACTGTAGTATATAATATAAGATAGTATAGTAAAGAGTAGTTGGCCCAAATGTAATTAATACAGCTATTGTATTAATTACAATATTAGATAGATGTTGAAGTATTAGTATGGGTGGCCAGATCATATATGTTATTATACTATAAAAAATAAATAAGTTTAGATTTGATAGAGAGAAATTGAGTCATTAGTTGCATTAAAGTCTCTTATAATAATAGGTAGTATATTTTTATACTTAGCTTCTTGTATCTATTATATAATAGTATTTTGGGCTAAAAGTCTAAGTTGTGAATTATTATATAATAGATAGGTAAATATAATACAGAATTTAAAATTATGTTTAAAGAATAGATCAATTACAATTGCATAATCATAAAATTGAAGAATGTTGTAAGGTTTAAGATAATTTTATATTATAATTGCAGTTTCAGCATTAGAATTACTATAACATAATGAATAATAAGAATAATATAAAGATTTTTGTAATTTTATAGTTGCATTATCTTGGGATATTTTTGTTTCAGTTATATTAATAATGTTTATATTATAAGATAGACAGTAGTCTTTCCAAACTTTCTGTTTGAGGTCTTCATTATATTCTCTTACATTATATATACATATTTTTAAGAATAAAGGTTGATAGAATATAGTTATTGAATCAAAAAAATAAAAGATATTATAAGAATATGAGGTGTTATTGGTTTTATTACTAAGATTAGATGTGAGAAATAAAAGAAAGTTGTCTAGAGATTCTGATATAGAAAAGACTGGTATTAATGTGTTTAATTTTAGTTGGATGTTCTGATAGTGCCAAATGGCTTGAATTGATAAGATGAAGTGATTAAGAAGAGGTTTGGATTTAAATAGAAGATAAACATGAGCTTTGCTATAATCATTTTTTATAGAGATAGTTAATATATAGCTATATAAGTTATTAGATAAATAGCCAAAGCTATAGATGTATTATAAAAAAGTATTAATAGTTTGAGGATAAGAAAGTAGTAATACAGTATATGGTTATAAAATAGAAATTTGTTGTAGCAAGTATTAAATTGTATATTGTCATAGTATTGTTTAGCTATGATAGTTTCATTATAGCCTTCAAAGATAGTTTCTATTAATTAAGAATAAGTGTTATCTAGTTTATTATTCTTTATAATTAAATTAGTATTTAATATATTATTGTTTGTTAGAGAAAATTTAAAAGAGATAGGTATAAATAGATAGTAGGTATAAACTGATAGTTGTGGAAAGAAATATTTAGGTAAAGGTTAAGACATATATAGTAGATATATATAATATTCACTATAGTCAAGTTTGATTAATATTTTAAGTACATAGTTAAAATTATTGTATTGTATAAAATTGTATTGATAGATGTGTTTTAGAAAGAAGTTAAGTGTTTGTAGATGTAAAAGTAGGAGTAAATTCAGATATACTAGCTATTAGTTATAGTATAAATCTGAATTATATAATGTTTTGTAAACTGGTTCTTGCAATGCTTTCTTGATGTTTGATAATAAAATAAAATTCAAGAAAATAGAAGATTCTTTTGTAAATTTGCTTACTATATGCTCAGTTCTTACAGCTGTGAAAAGTGCTATAGTATACTTTGTACATTGAGTCTGACTGTTATTAACTTGATTCTCTATATAAATAAATTTAACTACTTTTTTACTTACATTATTCTCTTCTAAAAATAGCCTATTATTAATAAAAAACATTGTAATTTCAGAAGTAGTAGCTGCTTTTATAAGTACTACAAAAGATTTTATTGAAATATAGTCTCTTTTTCATTTTTCAAAAAGAGTGACTCCTCAATTGAAATGAGTATTTCAAATTTGATATTAAATTTGTTATATAAGATTATTTCTGTCTTTGATAAGGCTTTTTTTTTATAGAATTTAGTTATTTCAGAGTAATTTGAAAAGTTGCCTTATATGTAATTAAAGTATATAATGATTCAAGCTAGAAAATCAGTATTAATAAGTTTTGCTATAAGAAACTTGATGGTTTGTTATTTATCTATTTTGTCAATATTGTAGTTTTAAGTAGTAGTATTATAGTATATAGATAAGTATTGATAGAAATAGAAGCCTCATCATTTAGAATTAGTTTTAACAGCATTAGAGAAACAAATATACTTTTCTGCTTTTGTTACTAGTTCATTAAGAGTTAAAGTAGAAATTGGTTTTGAAAATGTAGCTTCATGTTTGCCTTTAATATAGAATATAAATGCATTAAGAAAAGATTCATTTCATGTTTCAGTATCTTCTTTGAAATAGGTTTTGTAAGATGTTTCAAATATATTTTTAATAAGTATAGATAAGTTATATATAGATTGTAATATAAAGGTTTATTTTTGAATTAGTATTAGCTTTTTTGTTTTTTCTTTTGTATCAGTTAGTTCAAGATAGGAACATTTAGAGTCTGTATAGATGAGTATATAATAATTAGTATGTCTAAAAGTTTCATAATGTTATTCTTGAAGATTAGTTAGTTTTATGAATTCAATATTAGTTGGCAAAAGATTTTTTAAGTACAAGATAAAGTATTGTTTAAATTCATATTTAAGATAGTTAGATACTTTGGTTTTATTAATTGTATTAGAAAATTGTTAACTATTAATAGAAAGACTTTCTCAAACCATTCATTAAAATAACTAAGCAAGTTTTTAAGTAATAGTATATTATATTTTCAAGAAAAAAAGAATTTGAAAGATTAAAATTCAGTTTAATATTAAATCAGTTATCCATTTTGATAAAAAGATATTGTTATTCTTTGTTAAAGTTAATAATCTCAGATGTTATCTTAAATCTTTTAGGCTGAGTTTGATATCTTTAGCAAATTTTGTATAGTTGATTGCTTAATATTATTAAAAAAATATAAATATAAACAAGCAAGATTGAGACAAATTGTAAACAATTCTCAGTTTTAATTAATGAAATTGTAACAAGAAAAGCAAATATTTTAAGATAGTTGAATTTGGTAAAGAAGACTGTTGTGAATATATGAATAAGTTTTTTAAGACTTTTTTTTAAAATATTAAAGAGGATTGTTATAGCTTTATTTGTTTTAAAATTGTGTTTTTAAATTAGATCAATAATAAATTTTGGTCTGATATTAGTCATTTATCTAATTAACAAATAAAAACTAGATTTAAGTACATATTTAATTTCTATAACTTTTTTAAGAACTTTATCAGAATAAAAATTATATAAATATTCTTTAAAAAAATTAAAAAGTTGACATAATATCTTAGTTTCTAATTTTGTATAGTTTTGCATTTTATTAGTAACTAAGAAATTTGCTAGTCAATCAAATAATAGGTTGAGTTTAGGTTTTGCTGCTTGACTATAGAATTATTCATTTGATTTTTGATATTGTTGTTATTGTTTATTACAGTCAGGGGATATACCAAATTAGGAATCACATTCTAGAATGATCTTCTTTAATTTGATTGGTTTTCATATACCTTTTACAGTATTTGTTGTAAAAAAATTTTTTTAATAAAAATTTATTTTTAAAATACTATTAGATAGTAGTTCAAGATATCTAGTTTAAATAATCTACAATAATCCACCAAGATCCACTTTCTTTATGAAAATAAATAAGACTTAAAAAAAAGTATAGTTTTTATTATTTGTAATTCGAAGTTAATTTAATTTCTATATTTTATTTTTTTTAGATATATAATATGTTAGATGTATATTTTTGACATAATGGTCAAAGAAAACCACCTTTATGTCTCTAAGTAAACTTGTAGAAAGGATTAATAAAGGTTAGAATCTCAATTTTCAAATTATTTGGTTAAGAACTCATAAAGTTATAATCAATTTTCTTTACAAAAATATAGACAAAATTTTTTTTTTAAGTATAGATATATTCATGATGTCATTTTGGACATAATCGTTAAAGAAGACTGCCTTAGTAGTTCTAAGTAAACTTGTAGAGAGGATCAATAAAGGTTTGAATTTCAATTTTCAAGTTATTTGGTTAAAAACTTATAGAGTTATTGTCAATTTTATTTACAAAATAATAGATAAAATTTTTTTTTAAGTATAGATATATTCATGACATCATTTTGGACATAATCGTCAAAGAAAACCATTTTTATAGTTCTAAGTAAACTTGTAGAGAGGATTAAGAAAGATTAGAATCTAAATTTTCAAGTTATTTGGTTAAGAACTCATAGAGTTATAGTTGATTTTATTTATAAAA